ATGGATCTGTTTTACGGAAACATCGCCTTATTAGTCATCTTGGCCAAGATCACTGGATCACTCTATAGTCATACCAACGCTTTGCGTGAATAAATGTAAATGAGCGACGTCATTTAGGATCGCTCTCCCAGGAGAGATCGAATTGGATTCACGAAATCGCTCTCCCGGTGCGAGTAACGGTCACTCGCTTCACTAGCAGTGTTTTTAAGCAGGTTTCTTTTTGTTTTAAAGATTTAAGCCCCTTCTTAGGAAGCTTTAAGTCCCTTCAGCTTGTTTTAGCTCCCTTTAGCTCCCTTTTAGCTCGCTGTAGGTTACTTTAGCTTGCTGTAACTCCCCTTTATCGCCTTTGTAGCAAGTTTTAGGCCCCTTTACATTGCTTTTTGCTTGCTTAGCTCCCTATAGCTCGCTTTAGGTTACATTATCTCGCTTTTAAAGCCTTTTAGCTCCTTTTTGCTTCCCTTATAGCAAGTTTTAGGTTACTTAAGCTTGCTTTAGCTCCACATACACTCTTAAAAAAGTAATAATTGTTTTACATTTTTTTTAGAAAGGGTTGTGAGGCCAGGCCGTTCCCGACGGGTTATGTGGCAATCTCTCGCCGCCATCTTGAAAGTTTATGGAGCCCATTGCAGCACCAGAGCAGCATCCTTCAGATTCTCATATCTTTACCCGTAATTATAATCCCCCCCCCCTCCCTGGCGCGCGAGCGCATAGCGCCGTGCGCAAACGTCTTCCGCATAACGTAAATCCTCTGGCGGCGCTAATGGCCAGGCAGTGATAACTGAACGCGTTAGAACGTTTTATATGAGTTTTATCATCGACCGGAAAGATGTTCGGGAAGCGTGCAGCACGATCATCCCTCCCAGCTCGGAGGGGCTGGGCTACCCCCAACTCTTGCAGCTCTCTATATAGGAAACAAACTGGAAAGATTTCGGATTTCGCTGGAAAATTTTCGATACGAACTGCTTTTGATTTTAGTACGTAGGCCCCAAACCCGACCAAACGCGGCCGGCAGTTAAAGCTATGCCCTAAATAACAATTTTGTTCCTTGACAGGCAATGTTTTTGTGCACATCCAGATTTTGTGAAACTTTCTAATAATTTGCCCAAATAAGGGAACAACATCGCACCCGATCTGGATGTGCACAAATATGTTAACCTTTTTGTAGCAACAAAGTTGTTCCTTGACATTTAGAGTGTAGAGCCGCTTCCGGCCAAGTGTGTACCAGTAAAGCGAAGTGGGGCTAGTATCGACGTTTTGGGTAAGTAAGGGCCTATAAAGTATCAATGTGATCGAGATGTTTTTTTAATGTGTAGGAGCGATGGGGTAAGGGGTAGGCATGTGAGGTATGGATGAGTTCTTTTAATTGAGTCAGTGTTCCCTCATTGATTATAACTCTGGGGCCAAGAGTTCGCCGCCAGTGAGTCGGTGAGCGAGGGGAAAGGGGGAGGAGAGAGGGGGGAGGGAGTGAGGGGAAGATACGAGGCGGTGGAGGGTACATACGCGCGCTGGTGGTCTGCGATACTGTTGTCGATGATTTATGGGCAATTAACGAGTCCCAATGCGATCGCCACGCCTCGCCACGCCTCGCCACGCCCCGCCACGCCCCGCCATGCCCCACCACGCCCCACCATTGCCACCGGCTCACACCTTCACATTTGCACGTTGGGGTTACGTACGCTCCGGGTTATTGGAGGGACCGACCTCCCGCTCCTTCGGGCTAGAGAGAGAGAGAGAGAGAGAGAGAGAGAGAGAGAGAGACCGAGAGAGAGAGAGAGAGAGTTCTTGCTGGCGCGCTTGAATAGATAACACATCATATGAAGCATATCAATGTGTAATTTGCTAACGTAACGTATCCAATTAGGAGCAGGAATGTTTGTGTCGTGCTTGATGCAGTACTTGTCTGTAATGTCATTTTAAATTTAGCGCGGGGTGACAACACAGTGTGCAGCTATTGCTGACGGATCGTTCAAAGAATGCGACCGCTTTTCACAGAGTCATTGGGCAAATACCAGTCCTCGGCGCCTGCGAGAGTCAGGATAGGCCACCACGCAGTACATGCATGCCCTTCAGGGGGGATATTGCCTACCTACAGGGCGTTATGAGAGCTAGCAGAGGCTGAGATTGGCAGTGTCGTAACGACGAGTTACGAATGCACGTTATAGATGATCCTTTAGTTGTTTTTGGTGATTAATGAGCAGTTAATTAAGTAATTAAGTACGCATTTACTTCGTTTCTGTTATTTTCTAGTTGAAATTGTTCGAAATCGTTTGGAACGGCTGAGAATCAGGGGGGGGGGGCGTAAAGGTGCACCGATGGGGTTGATGTTAGTTCAGCTTTGGGCGGGTGTTCGACTTTTCGAAAGGAACAGGATTAAGTAGGATTTTAGCAACTTGGGG